ACCTTTTGATGTGTAGCAGTAGTCTTCGTTTCCCTCACAGTTTATACTTCCAGTACAATCTGATCCTATACATTTAAAGCATTTCTTGCCATTTGAGGCAAATGCAGTAACTAATCCTAGTTTGGTGGTTGCTGGAGAACCAAACATAGCTCTTCCTGACAACACCATTTGAATAATCACATATTTGAAAACCCCACTAGTACTCACTAGCAAAACTACTGTTGCCAAAATTGAGACAAATTAGTAAGCTGTTTTTTGAGGCATTAATTCATTCATTTTCTGAACTCCTACTCCTTTTATTGGGTTAAGGGAGGACTGAAGTCTATCCCAGACATTTTTTAAGAATTCTCTAACATTGTGAGATGGGGACATTTGGCAGAATAAGCAGTTTCCTTGTACACCAGCAGGTGGCAGCAGTGATTACTGACAGCTTCAGCATTGGACTGAACAAGTCCAGAGGCATCACCTTTATTGTTATTCATGTATTGTGTAGCGAACACAATTTTTTGCTCTACAGCTGATGAAATGTGAATAACTGTTATGTGGGATTTATAAAATTATTGCATTAATCTAAGAAACTTTAACACATTAAGTTTTGCACCTTTTTCTCACGTTATCTTCAGTGTATGTAAATTTAAGCTAGAGAATAGGGCTGGGCGATATAGAAAAAAAGCTTATCGATAAAAAAAAATGCATATTGATCGATATCGATAATTATTGAAAAGATTTGAAACCATATTTTATGTGCAGCTCTGCCTGGACTTTTTATAATTTTGCTAAATGATTTAATTTTAATAAAAAACACAAACACAGACTTCGAATTAAATCTTTATTTAACCAACTTTTTTAACCATAACAGAATTGTTTTAAAGAAAAATAACTTAAGAGACCTGGGTTATGTTATTAAATACTGACAAAGAATAAACAAAAGTGACCAAAATAAATATAACAAATAAATAAATGCCCCCCCACCGCCCCCGTTTCCTGCTTTAACCTGAGTTATTACTTTGAAGTTTCTGGCCCCTCAGCATTTTTCTCTCAATTGTTAGAACTACGTGGGAAACTGCCCAGAACTGAAATATATATATTTTCCGAAGATTCCTCGGAGGAGAGCCGCGTCGGGGCCTATACAGCTCGTACTCCTGCGGGTGTGAGCGGCTAAGAGAGACGATAAAAAAAAAAAAAGTTGGTTGTGTTATCAGACTTCGTTTTCACTGGTTCCCGACACATTTTCCAGATGACTGTGGTTTGTTTTTGGTCCGACTTGCCATGACCGAAATACTGCCAGACTGCCGAACTACAAAAACCCTTCTTTGGAACAATTTCCTCCGCCTCTCCTTGCTGCATCTTCGTGTGCTCTGTGTTGTGGTTTGAGAGGGCGGCGCTTGGTGACGGCATGCCTGGGTCCGCGATTGTGATTGGTTGGGAGGAAGCAGTGACTAGCATAAACCTACATGCTAGGCTACAATGAGAAGGAAGGAAAACTGCGTTTCTTTTTTATCGAACTTTTATCGACCCTCTTTTTTTCTATTGCGCTACACGTCTATCGATCGATATATATCGTTATTGAATTATCGCCCAGCCCTAGAGAATTAACAAAAAATATACCATTAACATGTTCTTTAAAACTGTATTTGTGTTTTTTTTTAATAATTTATACAAACAATTACAAATTGTACAAATACATCACCAGTAGGAAAATAAAGACAAATAAGACAAATTGATAGAAAAAATTAGGAATTGAATAATGAAAAAAAATCCAAAATAACATCAGGATACAAGATTGTCCAGATTTATAACGGGAAAGAAGCTTCTCAGTATTCATTTGCTGAACGAGGTAAACAAAGGAGCTATTGTGTTGATTAAATCATAGAATTTTGGAATCACTTTAAATTTGGGAAAATGTCCTTCAGAGAAAAACACATCAGCTGACAAACTTTGGGCTGGAAAGATATCTTGGCAAAAAACATTTGATAAATTACAATTAAAAAACAATTGATCCGTGGTTTCAGTGTCTCTCACACAAAATTAACAAGTTTTTCTCAATCTCAAAACCTAGATGTAGCAGATCATTAGGTAATCAGGAAGGAAACCTATTAAAGCGCAGCTTTGCCTCCTCCAATATGGCGGACAGCCAGTTACACCCCAGCAGTGGGCCAACCCACTCAATGAGGCATCTACATATATAATATCTATGAATGATGATGATGCAACAACTGAGGAAGTAGTTAACACAGAAGGAAGTAGTTTTATATCTAAAATTTAGGCTGATGTCTGACAGAGATGAGTTAACCTCCCACATACGTTCAGATCTTTCAGGGTAAAACTGCAAGCAGTTTGTTAACTGGTTATATATGTATGCTTTTAATTTGGAATGGGAGTCTTTTCTCTTTTTACTTTGCCTTGATGATTATTCTGGAAAAACCCAATAAATTGGCTGCAGCTAAATGGATTTAGGAGGAAAAATGATGATCATAAGAGAGAGACACCTCTGCCCCTCAACTGGTGGGGTTTGTACCTGGATCCTACCATAAACCATTTCCCTCCTGCTGATCCATGACCTCTGATGATGTCTGCCTCCATCATTTGAGGAGGCGCCTGTGATTGAGCCAAAGAGGCTCAAGAAACCTGAAATCTTGAATCTAAAAGATTTCTGCCTGCATTGAACTGTTAGGGAAAGACAGGACTTTCATTTCTATTTTCATTTTATTACATTTATTACTTTCCTTCTTTTGTCTACATGTCCATTGCTTTCTTTACCTGTTTTAAACCATGCATACTGGTTCAACAGCCAGAACTCAAATCATCATGCATTAACGGACTAAAAGATAAGACACGTTTATTGCAAAATAAATATTAAAATTACTAATGTTGAAGCAGTTGTTTAACTTGGTGCATTTAAATAGATATCATTTATCTTTTTATACTTTACTTTTATATAGCCATTTTATTAGACCCTTTATGACTAAGTTCAGCGCCTATCCATCTATAAGCCTTTAGCCTATTTTCCTTCGGGTTTGCAGTTTGCATGTCCATGTTAAATGGTTCCGACTTAGAAGAAAATCGAAGCGTTATATTAATGGATTTTGTGGATTCTCATATGTGACCAGCATCCAGGATACAAATGCCAACTCAAGAAGGTAAAAAAGAAAGAAATGAAACTTTGTCAAGCATGAGCACTAGCAGAGGAGTGCTGCAGTTCTTAGTTTTAGCTACAGGTGGCAGTATCATTAGAAAACTGTAATGTCTTTCTAATGTTGCCTAATTGCCAAACAAGTGTGCGACCACTTACACCATAATGAACTTTTGGAAGAGTTTCAGTCTGGCTTTAGAGCTCATCATAGCACTGAAACAGCTCTGGTGAAAGTCACTAATGATATTTTCATGGCTAAGATAATGGACTTGTATCTGTGCTCATCCTGTTGGATCTCAGTGCTGCATTTGATCCAGTTGATCATAATATTCTTTTAGAAAGACTTGAATATTTTGTTGGAATTAAAGGAACAGCGCTAGACTGGTTTAAATCTTATCAATCTGATTGAATTCAGTTTGTTCATGTTAATGATAGATCTTCCTCATTCTCCAAGGTGAAATGGGCTGATTACTCAGTCACTTCATTTGGATGGGATTAAACTGATTTCAGATAATAAAGTAGAAAATCTTGGTGTTATTTTTGATCAGGACCTGTCATTTAAATCCCATATCAAAGAGGTTTCTAGAATTTCCTTCTTTCATCTGAGAAATATTGCAAAAATGAGAAATCTCCTGTTCAGGGGTGATGCTGAGAAACTAGTCCATGCATTTGTTACTTCAAGGCTGGACTATTGTAATTCTTTACTATCAGGAAGCTGCAGCTAAAAGCCTTCAGCTGATCCAAAATGCTGCAGCCAGAGTTCTGATGAAAATGAAAAAGAGAGATCATATCTCTCCTATCCTGGCTTCTCTTCATTGGCATCCTGTTAAATCCAGAATAGAATTTAAAATCCTCCTTCTCACATATAAAGCCTTAAATGGCCAAGCTCCATCTGATATCAGAGATCTGATTGTTCCTTATGTTCCTAACAGAGCACTTCGCTCTCAATCTGCAGGTTTACTAGTGGTTCCTAGAATTTCTAAAAGTAGAATGGGAGGCAGATCTTTTAGTTATCAGGCTCCTCCCCTGTGGACTAACTACCAGTTTTAGTCCGTGACGCAGACCCCGTCTACTTTTAAGGCTAGGCTTAAAACTTTCTTTTTTTGGTAAAGCTTAGAGAGGCTCAGGTTATCCTGAGCTATATCTGTAGCTATGCTGCTATAGGCTTAGACGTATGGAGGGCATAGGTACCCCCATTTCATCATCTTATTTCTATTCTCCCACTGCAGAATCTGTTAGTTCAATCTCTAACGTTCTGCTCTCTCTGCTTTTTCTCATAGTAGCTTCATCTGGTCTGTTCCTGTTTGGCTGTGACTCCATCCTGGAGAGAAATATCAGCTGTGCTGCTTCCATCAACATCTTTGTTTATAGATGTTTTAGATTGGTCTGCTTTCCAGTGTAGTCCGGTTTCTCTGACTATGACTCGCCAGATGTGCTCTCTTCTTCCTCTGACATGGGAGCAGGATCAGAGCTCGTCTGCCTGGCTGTGTGTTTCCTGGACCGGGTCCAGAAAACACAAAGCCTTCCTGTTAAAAAGGAGTTTTTCGTCTCCACTGTCACTACAAGCATGCTTAGTGTGAGGGATTGCATTTGAGTCAATGAATCGGTGCAATCAACTGGATTTCCTTAGATAGAAAACTTTGAATCAATCTGACTGGATGATTTTCTAACGTTAGACAGAATGTCAGTGGCCTATTCAGTTGATCTCTTCAAGTTGGTCCAAGATAGTCTAATGTTACGCAACATACTATATTATAGGATACATCAGTTTATACATGGATTGTCTTGGTTTATACATCCACTGACTGTAAAATTACCTGTGAAAAGACTTTTTCAAGCAAGCAAACTGCTTGTTTTTGTAGCCAAATGCTACACAGGTAGGCATTTTATGGCCCATCTCAGTGAGAATGGGAAGTACCAAGATGGTGACAGGTGACTTCACTTTTTGTGCTATTAGCTATACAGTGAATAAATAGAGATAGTGAGTTTAGCTGAAGGATCACTGTTGCTGCCTCAGCCATCTTGTGTTGAAAACAACCTACTGCATAAAAAGAGAAACTGATGCTTTATGACAAAGTGAAAGTTTATAAAAAGCATTAAAAATTATTAAAGAGTAACATTAAATAATTGGAAACAAACCTGTACTGAGAACTAGGTATTAGAGATGCTTGCTAAAAAAAAAGTAAAATACAGCTTTGATCTACTTATAAAATATTTACAGTTCAAAAATTGTTGCTAGTTTCTAAACGTCTTTACCTCTTCTTAGCAACTTTAATTTATGACATTAGCAACACAATGTGAGAATCGTGGAGCAGGGAACCTAAAATGTACTAAATCAATATTCCCTATTAATTATTTTCTAAATTTTTCAGTTAAACTCTGATCTGAAATGTGTAATACAAGCTTAGGTAAGCTGGTAAAACATCTGAACCCAGAATAACAACTTCTGCCTGTTTAACCACAGACATCTGAACTCACTATTAACAGTGAACAAAATGTTTTCTTGGTCTCCTTATGAAGCTTGGATCTCAATCACTCTGTTGTTATCGTCTGCTTGTTCTGTTTCCTGTGGAAAGGTAAGGACACAGAAGGTTCTGATGCTCTGCTCTGAATTTACTGCAGCTTCAACTGATTCAGAGTAAACTAGGATTAACACGAGACTTCCTGCGTTAACAAAATGGCTGCAGCACATCAAGTCACTTCTATTTTAGCATTATGATAAAAACAGGAAGGAAATCATAAAGAAATATTTCCATTACACAAACTAAGATAATGTGTGGCAAAAACTTATTTGCTTACCTTCTGTTGTTTGTTGTTGCAAACTAACCTTGACCAGCTGATAGAGAAGAAATCCCAAACACTGAAATTAAAAATACTGACTGCTGTGTGGCAGCAACATATCAACTCACAGAAAATCAGGTCTCACCACTCTAGGACCACGATTGTAGTGCAGAGAATCACAATTCCCACGATCTTTATTCCAATGTAGGCAACACTACCTGTAAAAGAGGAAACATTTTGGTCACTGCGGCACATGTAAGTCAAATGGAAACTATCTGAAAGCTGTGGCTAAACAAAATGACGATTATAATCTGTCTAAGTCTTTTAGTCTAAGTCTATTTGACCTTCTTTGAGGAGGAAAAATGTTTGGAACCAGATCAACAGAAATCAAAATATCCAATATAAAGAAATGTCCCGATGGAAACTAAAGTACCACACTCTGAATCTTTGAAATGGCTGATGTTAAAGCAAATGAAATTTTCCCATACCAAGAAAATCTGAGTGAGGAGGAGGAATAGCAGCAACCTTTCAGTCGGACTTACTGATGACTCCAAAGGCAGTTAATAATTACAACTCTTTTGAACATTAAACCCTTGGTTTCACTCATCCAAATTACAAAGCATCCTATTCTGGTTGAAACTTTGTATCGTCCACCAAGTCCTTACTCCGAATTGTTAGATCAGTTTTTAGTTTCTATCTGATTTAGTGTTTCATACTAAGAGGTCAGGTATTTTTAACATCCATGCGGATGTGGAAGGTGATAGATTGAATGCAGCCTTTATCGCTATCTTCGACTTGATTGGCTTTGTTCGAAATGTGAGTATTCCCACACATTTCAATCTTCCTACTTTAGACCTTATGCTGACATTTGGCATTTAATATAAAGAAATAACAGTATTTTCTTGCAACCCTGTCCTCTCTGACCCATCGGCGTCGGCAGACCCTTTCACAGGATCACGTGCCCCATTGTGGATCTCCGGTGCCTGTCACAGCCAGTCACAATTGATCGACAGCTTCGCAAAAATGACGCAGAGACCAGTGGCAGCTGGCCAATAGAGGGCACTAGGGGACCGCCCCACAACCAATGACCCTGATTAAGACATACAAAATTTTTTTTTTATAATTTGATTTAAAATTAAAACATTACATATTTCGAAATATATCTCTACATATTTTTTAGATGTGCAAGATAAATATTCAATCTTTAATACAGAGTAAAGCATAATTGACAGTGGCGTTGGATGTAGGAGTTTGCCCTGAAATTGAAGTATTGACGGTTCAAGCCCCGACTCCGACTTTCAGTGTTGTTGTGTCCTTGGGCAAGACACTTCACCTGCATTGTCTACTGATGGTGGCGCCAGTGTACGGCAGCCCCACTTCTGTCAGTGAGCCCCAGGGCAGCTGTGGCTACAATGTAGCTTGCCACCATCAGTGTTTAAGTGTGTGTGTGAATGGGTAAATGAATGTAGTGTAAAGCGCTTTGGTCAAGTCTACTGACTTGAATAACAGCACTATATAAGTACATACCATTTAACATAAATTTTTTTGTTGGATTGATGAAGTATATCCGCCCTGGGGCCCAAAAATCAATTAAAAGTTGTACATGTGCAGTAGCTCCTCGCAATACAGAAGTATAGGAGAGGTTGGGGCGCAGCTTTGGTGCGCCTAAGGTGACAGGAAGTATATTTGCTCGCCACCTCCTGCCACAACACAGACTTTTTGGTGATTAACAGGTCAATCGCAGGGACTGGAGACGCATTGTAGAGAGGAGAGAGACAAATGGTTCAAGAAATGTCCTTTTCCAGGACCTAGTTTAGCCAGAAGGCTTGGCTAACAGCATATATCTTTATTCTGCTTTCCCTGCTTCCTTTTTCAAATGTCAGGATCTGACCCAGCATGGATAAAGACAGCTAGGACTGATTTAAAGAACTTTTTAGAAAAGGCAAAAGAAGAATGAACAATCTGGGATTCACATGGAAAATTATAGAATATAGACTACTTTTCTAGACGTTTGTTAATTTGCATAGTTGCTCATAAATAAACACATTGTCAGAAAATAAGGTTCTTATATACATTAAAAATATAAAGCTGACTGATCACCATCTTAGGATGGGCCGAAATAGAAGTGATAAACACAGACATGTATGTATGCAGAAGTGTTTTTTTGGTTTTTCCTTTTACAGTTCCACATTTCAAGTTTTCAGTTTTCAAGTTCATGTTTGCTGACAGATATTTAATGAATGTAAATTGTGTCTTCATCAATAGTGGATTAGAGATATGCAGTTAGGTTCACAAGTGGGCCAATTCAATTCAGTTTGGTTCAGGTAGATATTTAATGATGCAGAAAATAACAATCTGATTGTGCAATTTATTTATGATGCTTTATAATAATAAATAAGTGCTATAAAATATTTGCTTGTGTGCTTGCATTAATTAAATTGCCCTATTGTCCTATTGTGCCCCTGTCTAGTATCGGGTCAGCTGGCTCACCTGCTCTGACCCCTTTTTAATAACCTTTAGGATTGCTTCAACGAGTTATCCTCCCCCAAAAGGTTTCACTTTTGCAGATCATTGTCAGGTAGTGCAGTTATGAATTTTAAACAATCCTCCTTCTTTTAAATGAGCAACAAACAGCAGAGCAAAAACTCACACTAAACTCTAGTTCTACCTTCAGTCTTGGCCTCACAGCAGTGAATTCCTCCCTCAGAGACGCTTAACCTGACGTGTCCTTCAGCTACTTTCATGGCTCCATGTTTGCTCTTCTTGAACCAGGTGAATCAGCTGATGGGAGGCTTGGCTCTGCTGGAGCAGTTCAGGTACACCCAGCTATCTGCTGATGGACTGATGGATACTGAGGTGTTTTTGGGAGCATCTGAGGAAAATGTGACACACCTTCAGTTTATTGATGAGAAGCAGCTGAACCATGATGTTCTGACAGGATGACTTACAGGAAACACTGAGAGTCACTTCTGTCTTTGCTGTCTTGCTGTGTTTTCCTCCATCCACAGGATATCTGACAGAACAGATGATGTTGTATCCATCATGTGTGTCTGACAGAGTGATGATCTGCTGGATTTTAGTTCTAAACGTTCCATCTGTGTTCTCCTCTATCTGTCTGGGAGAGTCTGGTTGGAGATTCCAGGTGAGTTCAGGAGGTGATTGTGGACAGGGAGTGAGAGCTGAGCACGTTATGGTGACAGAGTCCTTCTCCTTCACATCACCTGAGATTTCAATCCTGGGGCTCCAAGCTGAATCTGTGCTTTCACATCATACACACATTTTACACAGTGAGATCCAGAAAATCTCTACTTTAAACACATTTGGAGCAGAAATGCATCTGAATTCATTTTCTCTCCTCAACATTAATATTAGAGATAATTTAAAACAAAAGGCTCTCACCTCTAACTGTTATATTAACAGGATCACAGGAAGCTGTTCCTTTGAACCACCCGTTCTCAATCCTGAAGAAGTATTTCTCTGTTTGACTTGAGTTTACATTAAAAAACACAGTGGTGCAGTTTCTCTTACTCAGGTTTCCAGTAATGTTCATGTTATAAATGTTCGTTGGCTTATTGCTGTTGTAGATCACGTTAAATTGCTTATCTTTAAACACAGGATGACTCTTTATCCAAACTCCAAATGTTTTCTTCTTGACAACAAAGGTTTCTCCTGGTTTCTCTCTAAAGCTACATGGGATTAGCAAACAGGATCCACTCAGAGCTTCCATCTCCTCTGGTGCAGTAATGTTGAGGTCTGGTTCCTTGTCACAACCAGTCTGAACTCCTATAAACACAGAATAGAGATGAACACAACGTGGATCAAAATGGTCGTAAAGATAAACTTCCTGATCAATAAACTCCACCTGAGCTGCAGCTTGTTACACAAAGAGCCTTTAAACAAGATCAGGATCCAATATTTCAGACTAGAAATGGATCCAGTAATGTCTATGAATGAAAGTGAGAAATCAAACAGCTCACCTGAGAAGAAGAAGACATTCAGTAACATGCTGACGGTCAACATGTTCTCAGACAGGGCTGCCATCATGCTCCTACATCCCTCCATCAGCTCACAGAAATAAATTAAATAGACAAAACTTAAATTTATTGCAATTTCATAAAAAAAATACTCTGCTCCTCAGAAAACGTTCCTGTGCTTCAAGCTCATTTTGTGAAAAGCAAAATAAATTCCATAGCATTTCCACGCATCACTTCTAAAAAAGCAGAAATATGAAGCTAACATTATAGTTTCAACTGAAAACAAACATAAATAAAAAATATAAAATGTCTTTCTTACCACAAAGTAAAATTCTGCCACCAACAAATATGAGCAAGCACTTCTTGTTGACTTGTTAAAAACAGCTGAGCAAACGTAGATAAGCTCTGACCGACTTTAAGTGTCGTCCAAAATATTTCAAAGTACCTCAGAAAATGTATGTTCTATCTTTCCCCAGAAGAGGACGTTTTTTTCTACCCTTATGTAGATTTAGATTGTTTTATTTTAAAGTTAAGAACACAGAAAAGGAGTAAATGCAACTGAATAGAGTAAACATAATAGTTAATGAAAACACCCAGAGGTTACTTACCAAGAATGTTAAACCACTTCAAAGCCTGACAGCTAGAAACCATCTTTAATGTCTAGAGTTAGGCACATAATGAAGAAAGTTTAAAAGAATCTAAAAGGAGTGAGATGAGCTAATTCTGGGTAATTTTAGTTCCTCATACTGTCCCTCTGAGGAACTAAAAGAACCCAGAAACCAACTTCCTCTGTTTTGGTCAAATGCTCTTTTTCTCTTCACCATATGTGGCAATAAGTAACACCATTTTTTTAAAATAAATGATTAAATTATGAATTTGTAGACTATATACTAAAGTCGATTGCATTTGTCACCCATAAGACAAATTTTAATTACTTATTTTGCATGAGAAAATGAAGAGGGAAACAGAAAAAAGAGCATAAAAAATACTTAGTGAATACTAAACAGGACTTGCTTAAGAAGAAGAGGATATGAAGAATGAGCAGGAAACCGACAGAAACCGACAGAAAAAGAAGAAGAATCCAGCAGCGCTGTAGGGAAGGAAGAGGAAGACACACAGTGGGCTTCAGAGGAGATGAGTTGCAGCAGCTGCAGGGAGAAAAGCTGAGAAGCTGAGAGGAGGAGAGTAAATAATAAAAGTGGAGCTCATAAGGAAAAAATGAATAAAATAATGAGGTAACATCTAACATGTAATGTTGAACTATGGAAATCTTAAGAACAGAAAGGTTTAAATAAACCAGGATATGGTGGGAGCGCAAAAAAAAAAAAAAAATAACAACCAAGAATAATTACAGATTGGCTGTAGATAAAACATTATTGATACAGTGCTTATCCGTATTGTATCTCATTAAAATTAAGATCATAAGCACTCCTCTATCCGCGATTGTATCTAAGGTAGCCATGGAATCTGAACCGGGTTTAGACTGCTTTGATCCAGTTGAACTTTCTGAGTTAGCAAAATTATTGTCTCCATCTAAGCCTTCAACTTGTATGTTAGATCCAGTTCAAACCAGGTTATTTAAGGAGGTATTTCCTTTGATCTCCTCCTGCATTTTAGATGTGATTAATCTATCTCTGTTACAGGGATATGTACCAAAGGCTTTTAAAGTTGCTGTAATGAAACCTCTGCTTAAGAAACCGTCTCTTGACCCAGATGACTTGGTCAATTATAGACTGATATCCAATCTTCCTTTCTTATCTAAAATTCTTGAGAAAGTCTATTATTATCATAATCTATTATGTAGATTACAGGCATGTCTGAAAAAATAAAAACCTGGATGACTTTTAACTTTCTCCTTCTGACTGCAAACAAAACAGAAGTTATAGTCTTTGGACTAGTGTTAGGTTTATTCAATGATGATTATAAAGTTAATGTGTGTACATATGGAACATTGGAGAAATGAGATGCTTCACTATGTTTACTGCAAACTGTCATGCAACGGTGGTAGAAAATTGCTGATGTTTGTGCAAGGCTAATCACAGTTATCAGGAGACCACTCTATTCTGTGATCCAATCAGAGGAGCATTTTGTCCTATGACCTGATCAATTGCCTTGTCAGAAGAACACTATTTCGTAACCCACCCCATGTGTTATGATCTGCTAATAAAAGGGCTGTGCAGAGGAAGTCAGTTAGAGAGTAGATGTAGCTGAATGTAGCTCTCTCCTTCTGCAGAAGCCGTTAAAAATCCCTCTTCTGTGCGGACTCGGTTTCTCTTTTACGAACCTACATTTTTGAACCTATCATTTTGGTGCCGAAACCCGGGAGTCAAGATCCAATTGTCCAGGACCGTGTGGGACCAAGGCCAAGAATCTGTTGACAGCTGTCCTCCCTTCGCCGGACGGGGCCAGTTTGGTCCAGCCCTGCCCTGGGCATCTTGGTGACGACTCCCACTGAGTACTGGTCTACACGGCAAAGGGTAGGCCTAAAGCCTTTGATCAAAAGTTGGTCTGGGACCATTTAAGTTACAGCTGTAATCACAAGAATATTTGACGAGACCAAGTCTTGTTGACATATGTGGCATCTGGGTATTCTCTGCGTTAGAGTTTGGGACTCTGTGTTGTTCTCGAGATAATAAGTTTTGCAGCTGCCGCAGCAGGGATCTTTGATGAAACCAAGTTTTGTTGACAGATGTGGCATCTGGGTATCCGGTGCGTGTGAGAGCCTGGAGTTTGAGACTCCAAATTGTACACGTAACGATAGGTGTTTTATGTCTATATTGGTTAAAATAAAAAAAAATAATAATGGCCTTAAAATAGGAGTGACTGTGTGAGAGTGTGTGAGGAAACAATCGAACTGTTGGGTTCTGTTGTTTCATACTACAACAGCGGGGGTTTAATACAGTACAGCTCTTCTGGATGCAGAGGCAAGAATTTTTCACCTGAAAAGGTAGAAACAGAAATTAATAACAGTTTTTGGGTACTGTCCTCCTGAATAAGCATCCAGTGCGTAGAATACCCTAGGTGTTTGTACTGGACAAAATTCCTTAAATTGGGTAAAGGTCCAAATGAATTTAGAGATAATTTAAAATCTACAATTAGAAGTTTGTAGAAGCGCAGGATCCAACAAAAAATAAACACTTGAATATATGGTTAAAAATATATGGGTTTGAGGGACGCCTCTATTCGAAAATAATAAAATAATAAGAACTAAAGAATAAAATAACTAAAGAGAGCCAGGGAGGTAAAAGAATTAAAAAGGATGGGTTCAGGGAAGAGTATAGAGAAGATCATAAGGGGTATGGAAAGTTTGTGTCAGATTGTTCCAAGTAATTTAAAATACTTGTAGAAGTGGAAGTAAAAGTATGAAATAGATGGTGTGTGGAAGTTGATCAATGGAGAAATGTTGTGTGCTGGCTAGAAACAAGCACTAATGCAAAAATAAATAAATAAAAATAAATAGATAAATAAATATATAGATAAATAAATAAATGAGCTCCAAATGGGAGCCGTTGATATGATACATACGCAAAGTAGACATGTTATTATTAAAAATTCATAAATAGATCTAATGTTGTGTTTGTTCATTTTTAATCGGTGGAACGATGACTGCAGCATTGATCCAACTGACAGCCTTCCTAATGCATCCGCATGGTCTCCAAAACTATTAGGTGTGTTAAAGTAAGTTAAAGTTGTAAATGCTAAAACCATCTAAAAGGCTAATTTTCGTAAAATCAGCTAATAATCAAACATCCTAGGAATGGATGTCAAGGAAAATAGAAATAGAAAACCTTCAAACAGGAAAAAGGTTGCAAGGTTGCAAGTTTTTGTTGTTATATCACCAACTGACCCCATTATTCTGTTAAAATGAGAGTTGATGGAAAATTAGGCATTGCAATTTTCCCCACGCTGGGGGGAATGAAGGCTGTATGAATAATACATGTAATGGTGTTGCAACTAAATCCTTCTGTGTTTAATGCAACATGCTTAGCATTTCTGCTTTATGTCTATCTGTTCCAACTATGGGAACAGCCTTATAAAATTCTGTTCGATGTAAAACCCCAGGTTCAAGATTTAGTATGTGTTAAAATAACTCAGCATTCTTTGCTATCACAATCTGATGAAAATGATTTCAAAGATATTCCAAATGCTTTGCGGTCTACAGGAAGAATTGATGTAGGACTGTTGACAACTATAGATTCAGTTAAAATAGTTCCTAAATCACAACACAGGCCAAGGATAAAACAATATCTGCTAAAATGTGAAGCAAAGGTATAAAACCAGTTAAAAAAATTTTTAGCGGGTGCAGAAACAAGTCTGTTGTTTGGGCCATGTTATTTCAGAAGAAGGTAAAAAGCTACAAGAATGTCTTTTTAGAATTTTGCAATTACTGCAGGGCTTAGATTCCATATTATGTAAAATAAAACTCTTTTACTTTTTTAAAGGTTTTTTTTTATGTCACTAGTAGTTATGTCAGAAACAATTTAATGGATCCCAGAAGTAGAACAGCAATTCACAGAGCTAAAAGTAAAACTTTTCTCAACAACTGTATTAGCTCTGCAAAATTATCAAAAACCGTGCATCCAAATAGTTGACGGTAAAGCAAGTTATATGACCTCTGTGTTTGCAGCCTCATGGTGATAGGCTCATACTTGTAGTGTCCTACTCTAAAGGGTTAAAGGGGACCAGTGGAAACAGTAGCTCCCCTATATTCTTATTTTTTATCTTTATTATATTGTGTAGTTGGATGTTTATATATATATATATATATATATATATATATATATATATATATATATATATATATATATATATATATATATATATATATATATATATATATATATATATATATATATATGTATATATATATATATTAGTGCTGTCAAAATTATCGCTTTATTATCGTGTTAACGCGAGGCCATTTTAACGGCGATAATTTTTTTAACGTGAGATTAACGCTATGTGGTTTTATGGTACAATTTTCCAAGTACATCCCGCTGCAGCCTGCGGAAAGGCGGGGCTATTTTCCCCCAGTGTATGCATTTCTCATAGGCTTCAAGAGCGGAGCTCCTCAAGGAAAAAAGACGCTCATACACTGGGTAGCGCTAGTGCCTTTTCTTTAAGCCCCACAACCAACAAACAAGTTGAGTGTCTGGTAACTAGTAGCAACCTGAAATACGCTGAGAAAACTGATTACTGAGGTGAAATGGAATCTGCTACGGCACTCTTGCCGTCTGTGTACGCCACAGGTCGGTATCGTGTGTGTGTGTGTGTGTGGGTGCTTGTGTGTGTGTTCTCATTTTTGTTAAGAGGCTGAAAAGTAACTTTCTAGAGCATAGACTACCTCCATCTAGTGATGTCGGTCTATTGATTTTGATGTATTGATTGAAAATTGTTCATTATTATCTTGGTTAATTAACATCTAATGTTAACTGTACTACATTTTATAGTAGTAGGGTAAAATGCTTGTCTTTGTTCAAAAGACTGTATTAACTGTAAAGACTGTCTTTTACATCAGCCTGTTTTCAGGGCCTACATATTTATTTTTTGCTACATGCCTCCCCATCTTCTTGCCATATGTTTCTATGGCATAAATCAGTCTCTTTGACCTGTTTTCATTTAAAAAAAAGAACATTGGCACAAACCTAGCCTGTATGTATTTTTTGTATGTCATCGAGAGTATTTAAATGATTTTCAATCATAAAAAAAATTTGCGATTAAAATGCGATTAATCGCGAGTTAACTCAGGCATTGATGCGATTAATCGCGATTAAAAAAATTTAATCGATTGACAGCACTAATATATATATATATTAGTGCTGTCAAAATTATCGCGTTATTATCGCGTTAACGCGAGGCCATTTTAACGGCGATAATTTTTTTAACGTGAGATTAACGCTCTGTGGTTTTATGGTACAATTTTCCAAGTACATCCCGCTGCAGCCTGCGGGAAGGCGGGGCTATTTTCCCCCAGTGTATGCATTTCTCATAGGCTTCGAGAGCGGACCTCCTCAAGGGAAAAAGACGCTCATACACTGGGTGGCGCTAGTGCCTTTTCTTTAAGCCCCACCACCAACAAACAAGTTGAGTGTCTGGTAACTAGTAGCAACCTGAAATACGCTGAGAAAACTGATTACTGAGGTGAAATGGAATCTGCTACGGCACTCTTGCCGTCTGTGTACGCCACAGGTCAGTATCGCGTGTGTGTTTGTGTGCGTGGGTGGGTGGGTGCTTGTGTGTGTGTTCTCATTTTTGTTAAGAGGCTGAAAAGTAACTTTCTATAGCATAGACTACCTCCATCTAGTGATGTCGGTTTATTGATTTTGATGTATTGATTGAAAATTGTTCATTATTACCTTGGTTAATTAACATCTAATGTTAACTCTACTAAATTTTATAGCAGTAGGGTAAAATGCTTGTCTTTGTTCAAAAGACTGTATTAACTGTAAAGACTGTCTTTTACATCAGCCTGTTTTCAGGGCCTTTTTTTTGGCTACATATTTGTTATTTTTGGCATAAATCAGTATCTGTGACCTGTTTTCATTTAAAAAAAAGAACATTGGCACAAACCTAGCCTGTATGTATTTTTTTGTATGTCATCGAGAGTATTTAAATGATTTTCAATCAGGAAAAAAATGTGCGATTAAAATGCGATTAATCGCGAGTTAACTCAGGCATTGATGCGATTAATCGCGATTAAAAAAATTTAATCGATTGACAGCACTAATATATATATATAAATATATATATATATATAAAACTGTAACTTGAGTGTGTAACAAAAGTAATTTCCCTCTGGGATAATTAAAGTATTTCTAATTCTGATTGAAAGCAGCAGCTATTTTGAGCCATGAGTTTATTATGTCTCAATGGGAGGGATGATAAGTATAGTACAACAAGTATTTAATCCAACTGCAGGATTAAATAACTACTTTAAAATTTTTTGCAGAGCATGTCTCACATGTTGCAAAGAACATGTAATCTGCCCAGAGCTCCTTTTGTTTCCCCACAGGAAGGCCTGAAGCCTGGAGACCGAGTGCTGATTAAAATCATCAAGGGGAAAATTGGGCAGCTCCAAGGTGTGAAGGACCCTACATTGTGCAACTAGCAACTCCAACCACTGTGAAGATCTGGGAGAGAGACACTTGGATCCACCAGTCATTATAAGCTGATTAAAGACTTTCTCCAACAGGAAGCCCAGTTACCTTCACAGGTACCCCAAGACTAAGGTAGGGATCTGTGGTGAAGCCCATCTACAAAGGGGTTAAGCAATTTAGAGATTTTTGTCTCAACGCTGGTGAAGAAACCAACCTAACCCAATCCTTTAGAGTCCTGGTTAGTTGGTGCTTCCTTGGAGGGACTGGTGAAGATGGAAAAACTAAAGTTGCTCTGCTGCTTGATGGTGACCATTGGACTGGTGCTCTTATGGACTCAAATTGACTGCAAGAAACAAAGGAAAACCAGAATGGTTTTTGATGGATCCACACCAAGTCATCCCTACAGTGCCAAGATGTGGTGGCAGCATTCCAAACGCGTTGTTGAAGGTTTGAACAAAACAGACTGTTCACACCTCTGGTGCAAGTCCAGCACCATGGACAAGTTGGTTCACCATGAGATCATGGTGGCAGGTGCTGATGAAGATAGCTTTACCATTTGTAGGATTGTTTTTCATATTTTTCCTTTTTATTTGTTGTTTAATACCATGCCTCCAGTCAATGATTCAGAGAATGATAGGATTCACTCTAATCCTGTATTCTGCTGTAACTTATGTTCAACTCCGCCAAGATGCTGGTGAAGATACTGATGGTGTGGCAACTGTGTAATCTGTTACAGGGATAATGATCGCTTCCTAGGGAAGGATCGGGTAGGAATTTTCCCTCTATTGGAGAGGTTTTGCCTCCTGAAGGTACAAGTTTTTGAAGCTTTTTACATTCTTAATAAATTTAATGTTTTTGCTTAAGTTTTACATTTGACTCCTTTTCATATTTTTGTGTTTTGCACATTAATCTTTGATTACTGAATTTCCTATCTGCAATGCATTTATGATGTGTGTAGTAAAAATCTTTTTAGAAGTGCTACATGCTGATGTTTATATGCACAACAGGAGGGAAATGTTAGGTCAAGTCAATGATGATTATAAAGTTAATGTGTGGGACATTGGAGAAATGAGATGCTTCACTCTGTTTACTGCAAACTGTCATGCAACGGTGGAAGAAAATTGCTGATGTTTGTGTCACACACAGATATCAGGAGACTACTCTATTCTGTGATTTAATCAGAGGAGCATTATGTCCTATGACCCGATCAAGTGCCTTGTCAGAAGAACACTATTTTGTAACCCACCCCATGTGTTATGATCTGCTAATAAAAGGGCTGTGCAGAGGAAGTCAGTCAGAGAGTAGATGTAGCTGACTGTAGCTCTCTCCTTCTGCGGAAGCCGTTAAAAAATCCCTCTTCTGTGTGGACTCGGTTTCTCTTTTATGAACCTACATTTTTGAACCTAACAACTAGTCTTTAACAAAATCAGCTGATTAGTCAATCACTTCAGTTGGATGGGATTAAACTGATTTCAGCTAATAAACTAAAAAATCTTGGTGTTGTTTTTGATCAGGACTTGTCATTTAAATCCCATATCATAGAGGTTTCTAGAATTTCCTTCTTTCATCTGCAGAATATTGCAACAAAAAAAACAAAAAAAAATCCTGTCCCGGATTGATGCTGAGAAACTAGTCCATGCATTTGTTAATTTAAGGCTGGACTATTGTAACTCTTTACTATCAGGAAGTCCAAAAGCTGTAGTTAAAAGCCTTCAGTTGATCCAAAATGCTGCAGCCAGAGTTCTGATGAAAATGAAAAAGAGAGATCATATCTCTCCTATCCTGACTTCTCTTCATTGGCTTCCTGTGAAATCCAGAATAAAATTTAAAATCCTCCTTCTCACATATAAAGCCTTAAATGGCCAAGCTCCATCTGATATCAGAGATCTGATTGTTCCTTATGTTCCTAACAGAGCACTTCGCTCTCAATCTGCAGGTTTACTAGTGGTTCCTAGAATCTCTAAAAGTAGAATGGGAGGCAGATTTTTCAGTTATCAGGCTCCTCTCTTGTGGAACCAACTACCAGTTTTAGTCCGTGAGGCAGACACCCTGTCTACTTTTAAGGCTAGGCTTAAAACTTTCCTTTTTGATAAAGCTTCTAGTTAGAGTGGCTCAGGTTATCCTGAGCTATCTCTATAGTTATGCTGCTATAGGCTTAGACTGCTTGAGGACATAGGGACCCCTTTTTCATCATTCTGCTTCATTCTATCTCTATTCTCCCACTCTGCAGAATCTGTTAGTTCAATCTCTAACGTTCTGCTCTCTCTGCTTTTTCTAATAGTAGCTTCATCTGGTCTGTTCCTGTTTGGCTGTGACTCCATCCTGGAGAGAAATATCAGCTGTGCTGCTTCCATCAACACCTTAGTTTAGAGATGTTTTAGATTGGTCTGCTTTCCAGTGTAGTCCTGTTTCTCTGACTGTGACTGGCTGGATGTGCTCTCTTCATCCTCCTACATGGGAGCTGGCTCGGAGATCGTCTGCCTGGCTGTGTGTTTTCCTGGACGGCGCCGCCTTTTACAGTTGCCTTTTTGTATCTCTGCTTCTGTCTCCTTGAACCCCAGTCGGCCTTAGCAGATGGCCGCTCACACTGAGCCTGGTTCTGCTGGAGGTTTCTTCCTGTTAAAAGGGAGTTTTTCCTCTCCACTGTCGCTACAAGCATGCTTAGTGTCAGGGATTGCCTTCGTGTCAATGAGTCGATGCAATCAACTGGTTTTCCTTAGATAGAAAAGTTTGAATCAATCTGACTGGATGTTTTTCTAACGTTAGACAGAATGTCAGTGGCTAACTCAGTCGATCTCTTCGAGTTGAAAACAACCTACTGTATAAAAAGAGAAACTGATGCTTTATGGCAAAGTGAAAGTTTATTAAAAGCATAAAAAAAAACATTAAAGCGTAACATTAAATAATTGGAAACAAACCTGTACTGAGAGCTAGGTATTAGAGACGTTTGCTAAAAAAAGTAAAACACAGCTTCGATCTGCTTATAAAATATTTACAGTTCGAAAATTGTTGCTAGTTTCTTAACTGCTTTACCTCTTCTTAGCAACTATAATTTTTGACATTAGCAACACAATGTGAGAATCGTGGAGCCTAAAATGTACTAAATCAATATTCCTAATCAATTATTTTCTAAATTTTTCAGTTAAATCTGAAATGTGTAATACAAGCTTAGGTAAGCTTGTAAAACATCTGAACCCAGAATAACAACTTCTGCCTGTTTAACCACAGACATCTGAACTCACTATTAACAGTGAACAATATGTTTTCTTGGTCTCCTCATGAAGCTTGGATCTCAATCACTCTGTTGTTATCGTCTGCTTGTTCTGGATCCTGTGGAAAGGTAAGGACACAGAAGGTTCTGATGCTCTGCTGTGAATTTAATGCAGCTTCAGCTGAGTTAGAGGAGACAAGGTTCAACACGAGAATTCCCACGTTAACAAAATGGCTGCAGCACATCAAGTCACTTCTATTTTAGCATTATGATAAAAACAGGAAGGAAATGATAAAGAAATATTTCCATTACACAAACTAAGATAATGTGTGGCAAAAACTTATTTGCTTACCTTCTGTTGTTTGTTGTTGAAAACTAACCTTGACCAGCTGATAGAAAAGAAATCCCAAACACTGAAATTAAAAATACTGATGTGTAGCAGCAACATATCAACTCACAGAAAATCAGGTCTCACCACTCTAGGACCACGATTGTAGTGCAGAGAATTACAATTCCTGCGATCTTTACTCCAATGTAGGCAACACTAGCTGTAAAAGAAAACACATTTTGATCACTGCTGCACTTTATCAAATGGAAACTATCTGAAAGCTGTGAGTAAACAACATGACGATTAAAAACTAAGTCTTTTAGTCTAAGTCTATTTGACCTTCTTTGAGGAGGAAAAGTTTTGGTACCAGATCAACAGAAATCAAAATATCCAATATAAAGAAATGTCCTGATGGAAACGACGGAAAAGATGATTTACCCAATATCTGTAAAACTGTAAACATGCAATTATATGATGATGATTTATTTAATGGTTTATTTAATGTAATGATCTCTTTCTTCAAAATGTCAGTTAGTTAATGACTTGATTTGTGATAATCCCATTGATTTATGTGGCCTTAAAGAAACTTGGCTGCAGCAAGTGGTTTAAATTCAATTCACTACAGTTTATTTCTATAGCGCAAATTCACAACACGCCATCTCAAGGCTCTTTACAATTCAACCAGATCATACAGTAAAATTAATTCAGTTTTCTATCCAAGCAAAACCAGTCGATTGCATCGGCTAATTGACTCAAAAGCAATCCCTCACCAATTGAGCAAAATTTTCCCATACCAAGAAAATCTGAGTGAGGAGGAGGAATAGCAGCAACCTTTCAGTCGGACTTACTGATGACTCTAAAGGCAGTTAATAATTACAACTCTTTTGAACATTAAACCCTTGGTTTCACTCATTCAAATTACAAAGCATCCTATTCTGTTTGTATCATCCACCAGGTCCTTACTCTGAATTGTTAGATCGGTTCTTAGTTTCTATCTGATTTAGTGTTTCATACTAAGAGGTCAGGGATTTTAACATCCATGCGGATGTGGAAGGTGATAGATTGAATGCAGCCTTTATTGCTATCTTCGACTTGATTGGCTTTGTTCAAAATTTGAGTATTCCCACACATTTCTATCTTCCTACTTTGGACCTTATGCTGACATTTGGCATTTAATATAAAGAAATAACAGTATTTTCTTACAACCCTGTCCTCTCTGACCCATCGGCGTCGGCAGACCCTTTCACAGGGGCACGTGCCTCATTGTGGATCTGTGGTACCTGGGTATGCCTGGGGCACTGATTTTTTAATTAAATGTCCGTGTTCACTGCTCCGTTCTCACAGCTCCACCCTCACAGTGGAGTTGAGAGGAGAACACTCCAAAATTAGCCAGTCTCAATTGATCGACACCTTCACAAAAATGACGCAGAGAGCAGTGGCGGCTGGCCAATAGAGGGCGCTAGGGGACCGCCCCACAACCAATGACCCTGATGAAGACATACAAAATAATGTCATTTTTTTTATAATTAAATTAGAACATAAGATATTTCGAAATATATCTCTACATATTTTTCAGATGTGCATGATAAATATTTAATCTTTAATAACTAGTAAAGTGTCATTACATTTTTTGTTGGATTGATGACGTATTTCCGCCCTGGGGCTTTGTCCATTGACTCTCGTTCAAAGTTGTACATTCGCAGTAGCTCCTCACAATACAGAAGTATAGGAGAGCTTGGGGCGCAGCTTTGGTGCGCCTGAGGTGACAGGAAGTATATTTGCTCACCACCTCCCGCCACAACGCAGACTTTTTGCGGGTGATTGACAGGTCAATCGCAGGGGCTGGAGATGCATTGGAGAGAGAAAGAGAGAAATGGTGCTAGAAATTTCCTTTTCCAGGACCTGGTTTAGCAAGAAGGCTTTGCTAACAGCATGTAGCTTTATGCTGCTTTCGCTCCCTCCTTTTTCATGTCAGGATCTGACCCAGCATGGATAAAGACAGCTAGGACTGATTTGAAGCACTTTTTTAGAAAAGGCAAAACAAGAATGAACAATCTGGGATTCACATAGAAAATTATAGAATATAGGGGGGTGTCGGTTCAAGAAGGGGTTCATAACAGTTATGGATAGGATTTCTAGGCGCAGCCAAGGACCGGAGGGGGTCTGGTTTGGGGACCAGCGGATCCCCTCCCTGCTTTTTGCAGATGACGTAGTTCTGCTGGCTCCCTCCTGCCAAGACCTACAGTGTCCGCTGGGGCGGTTTGCAGCCGATTGTGAAGCGGCTGGGATGAGAATCAGCTCCTCCAAGTCCGAGGCCATGGTTCTCGACTCGAAAAAGGTGGCTTGTCCCCTTCAGGTTGGGGGTGAGTCACTGCCTCAAGTGGAGGAGTTCAAGTATCTTGGGGTCCTGTTCACGAGTGAGGGAAGAATGGAGCGGGAGATCGATAGACGGATCGGTGCGGCTGCTGCAATAATGCGGACGCTGCACTGGTCTGTCATGGTGAAGAGAGAGCTGAGCGAAAAGGCAAAGCTCTCAATTTACCGGTCAGTCTACGTTCCTACCCTCACCTATGGTCATGAAATCTGGATCATGACCGAAAGAACGAGATCCCGGATACAAGCGGCTGAAATGAGCTTTCTCCGCAGGGTGGCTGGGCTCTCCCTTAGAGATAGGGTGAGGAGCTCGGTCATTCGGGAGAGGCTCAGTGTAGAGCCGGTTCTCCTCTGCATCGAGAGGAGTCAGTTGAGGTGGCTCGGACATCTTCTTCGGATGCCCCCCTGGACGCCTCACTCGGGAGGAGGCCCATGGGACGACCCAGGCCACGCTGGAGAGACTATGTCTCTCGGCTGGCCTGGGAGCGCCTAGGGCTTCCCGCAACAGAGCTGGAGGAGGTGTCTGCGGAGAGGGATGTCTGGGAGTCTCTGCTTAGTCTGCTGCCCCCGCGACCCGATTCCGGATAAAGCGGGAGACGATGAGTACGAGTACGAGGATTGCTTTAACGAGTTATCCTCCCCAAAAAGGTTTCACTTTTGCAAATCATTGTAAGATTTTAAACAATCCTCCTTCTTTTAAATGAGCAACAAACAGCAGAGCAAAAACTCTCACTAACCTCCAGTTCTACCTTCAGTCTTGGCCTCACAGCAGTGAATTCCTCCCTCAGAGATGCTTAACCTGACGTGTCCTTCAGCTACTTTCATGGCTCCATGTTTGCTCTTCTTGAACCAGGTGAAGCAGCTGATGGGAGGCTTGGCTCTGCTGGAGCAGTTCAGGTACACCCAGCTATCTGCTGATGGACTGATGGGTGCTGCACTGTTAAAAAAGTAAATGGCAATTGTTGTTCTAACACACAATTGTATTGTAATCCGACTCAGAAATATAAATTTGACATCTAACAAATAAATACACGTTTGCCCAACTCAAATTCTCAGAAGTTGGTTTAACAAGGAGTTTTAAATCGCCTATACAAGATTTTTTGAGTTCCCTCAACTGTAAACTCATGGGCATGCGCACTGCTTATGTTCATGGACACGCCCACTACGGTACGGGGTTTCCTATCCCTTTCTTCAAGGGCACAGCCTTTTTCCCTCGTGTTTGAGAAGATTGGCGGACATTGTGATTTTATGCATCTGGAGAACCACGGAGGAACGACCCTGGGACCTTACCAGTTTTCCCGGTGAGTGCTGCAAAGTACAGACAGTTAGCGTTTAGCTCCGTGAGTTAGCATTCCCTTGTGGTGTATTGCCACCGAGTTGAAGCATGAGTTCACATGTTTTTCACGTTCTGATGAAAGGAAAAGCAGCGCACGTGCACGTGTATAATGCGCGTGACATTAAGTTGAGTGTAATAACTTATTAAATTTCTAATTTGTTTTTTTGGATACCCTGGATTCTGGATTCTCTCCTTAAATGGAGATGGTGAGCCAACCGTGTGAACATCTGGATTTGGATTGAAGAGAAGGATTTGGACTGAAGAGGACTTTCTTTTTTTGCATTCATCGTCCTGTCGGAGTGGTAGGACTAAAAAGAAAAACTCAGAGATAAAAAGGGAAAACCTTTTTCTTTTTCCGTTGGGAAACAAGACATTTTATTTCATTTTATTTTTTTTAAAAGGGTGCACCCAATTTAAAGAGACTACAATTGAAAAAAACAAACTGAAGGCCGTCCAAATTTGTAAAACTGTTATTTTTTCATATATGTTAATACACTTACTTCACAAAAAATTACCTGTGTGTTTTCCTCTTACTAAAATGGTGTCTTACTGTTTTTTCCCTCATCATCACTCTTACGAATCTAGAACATTCTGGTCCAGTGTCATGTTACTTTGATCTGTGCAGTTAAGATTATGTTGTTGAACATGGTTTTATACTGTATCTATGCAATGTTTGGCTTGAAGCAATAAAAATGTTGTATTAACATAATTTTTTGTGTGTTGAATGATTGGTAGTGAAGACGATTGGTAGGACTAAAAAAACTGAGTTGATAGAACTCAACTTGCAGATAACACTACAAAATCTGAGTTTGTAGAACTCTAAATCTATATGTCAAACTCATAAAACAAAGTTGATAGAACTCAGAACTTAAAGGTGAAACTCAAAAACCTAAGTTGGTAGAACTCAAAATTTCTATGTAACACTCCAAAAACCTAAGTTGGCAGAACTCAAAAATCTTTGTAAACTCAACCACAGTGAATTTAAGTAAGGAAAACTCAAAAAACCAAATGCATCACGTTGCCTAGAAAATGTAAGTTCTGTCAACCTCTATTTTTTTTTCAGTGTGAGGTGTTTTTGGGAGCATCTGAGGAAAATGTGACACACCTTCAGTTTATTGATGAGAAGCAGCTGAACCATGATGTTCTGACAGGATGACTTACAGGAAACACTCAGTCACTTCTGTCTTTGCTGTCTTGCTGTGTTTTCCTCCATCCACAGGATATCTGACAGAACAGATGATGTTGTATCCATCATGTGTGTCTGACAGAGTGATGATCTGCTGGATTTTAGTTCTAAACGTTCCATCTGTGTTCTCCTCTATCTGTCTGGGAGAGTCTGGTTGGAGATTCCAGGTGAGTTCAGGAGGTGATTGTGGACAGGGAGTGAGAGCTGAGCAGGTTATGGTGACAGAGTCCTTCTCCTTCACATCACCTGAGATTTCAATCCTGGGGCTCCAAGCTGAATCTGTGCTTTCACATCATACACACATTTTACACAGTGAGATCCAGAAAATCTCTACTTTAAACACATTTGGAGCAGAAATGCATCTGAATTCATTTTCTCTCCTCAACATTAACATTAGAGATAAATCAAAACAAAAGGCTCTCACCTCTAACTGTTATATTAACAGGATGACAGGAAGCTGTTGCTTTGAACCACCCATTCTCAATCCTGAAGAAGTATTTCTCTGTTTGACTTGAGTTTACATTAAAAAACACAGTGGTGCAGTTCCTCTTTTTCAGGTTTCCAGTAATGTTCATGTTATAGCTGTTTGTTGGATTACTGCTGTTGTAGATCACGTTAAATTTCTTATCTTTCAACTCGACATTACTTTTTATCCAAACTCCAAGTGTTTTTCTTCTACCATCAAAAATTTCTCCCAGTGTCTCTCTAAAGCTACATGGGATTAGCAAACAGCATCCACTCAGAGCTTCCATCTCCTCTGGTGCAGTAATGCTGAGGGCTGGTTCCTTGTCACAGGCAGACTGAACTCCTATAAACACAGAATAGAGATGAACACAATGTGGATCAAAATGGTCGTAAAGATAAACTTCCTGATCAATAAACTCCACCTGAACTACAGCTTGTTACACAAAGAGCCTTTAAACAAGATCAGGATCCAATATTTCAGACTAGAAATGGTTCCAGTAATGTCTATGAATGAAAATGAGAAATCAAACAGCTCACCTGAGAAGAAGAAGACATTCAGTAACATGCTGACGGTCAACATGTTCTCAGACAGGCCTGCCATCACGCTCCTACATCCCTCCATCAGCTCACAGAGACAAGCTGTCAGTAACTTATCTCATAAACTTCCATTTTAAATCTATCAAGAAGAGTGAAATAGAGATTTAACACAAAGAAAGTCCTTGCATTAAAAAAATCTCTCAAAACTAGTTGAACAAAAATATATCTTAGTGAATGACCAACCCTGAACTACCAGTTAAATTTCCACAAGAATCAACACCACTTTAGAGCAGAAGACAGCTCCACCCTTCATGTTTAGTTTTTTTAAAAGAGGAAGTCGATGTCATGATCAGCAGATTTTAGATTTTTAGTTTCTAAAGTGTTTAAGTTTTAATAGTTTTTCTCTTCATGTTCTAAAATGTCTCGTGTATTTTCCTTATTTTTGGTTTATTTCCTTTTCTAATCTCAGTTTTTAAGCAAGATTTAATTTAAAAAAGACAAGGTTGCTGAGATCTACTTCTGTTCTAAGCATGAAAAACATTTTTCCGTGTAAGAATCTGTTTCGGCATCAGCTCTGTCTACATGAGAGGTTGAATCTAATTTTGACATACTGTCTCCCACATTAGTATGTGCATTAATAGAAAAACACATGTAGCTGGTCTTACGCTCAGTGGATGAATGTTTAGTATACTGACCCTCAAACGCTCATATCCTTCACTGTCGAGCTGTCTGACCTCTTGACCTTGACTTTGTAGCTCTGCCTGCATTTGAAAACCAGTCTGATTTTATTATGTTTCGGTTTTATTTAATGTATGAGAAAAACACAGCGGTGCATGTCAGTATTACGACTGAAAAATACAGAGTTGTTCTGATAAAAATATAAGAATAGCAGGCTGAAAATATTAGCAAGTCAAACTGCCCATCCCCCAAGCAGAACAAGATGCTAAAGAAAATGACTTCCTCTTTTTAACAAGCTAAGTATATAGGGTGAAGTTTTCTTGGATAAAACATTTTACATTTTTGTCAAGGTTAAGTTTTAACCAGAACAGATAAGGGTTTCAGTTTGCTGACGATCAGATGAAGTCTTTACAGTAAGAAGTGAGCACCTTTTACTTTTTTAATTATTTCTTTGTTTTTTTTTTTAACATAAGGGAACATTGAGTTAGAATTAAAAATACAGAGAGGTCTCACCAGCTGGAAAGATAAACACTAAATTTAGACAAGGAAATAGACAAAAATTAATTAACCGATAAAACAAGGCATTTTAAAACATAAAGCAAAAAAGAGAAGATTAAAACACAAACATATTATAAAGTAAAGATTGAACACCCGCAGATCAGGACAATGACTTCATCTTTTAAAAAAGCAAAGCGAAAAGGGCGGAGCTGTCTTTAGTTCACACATCTTATTGATTCAGTCAGTTTTGAATGTAGTTTGGTGAGGCTAGTTTCACAAAGCTGCTTTAAAGGAATAGTACACCCAAAACATGATTAGCCTTCATTTTCTACTCACCTCCATGCTGAACAACACTCTGGAGTACTTTTTTGATATCTCAAATGCATCTGGAGATCTGGGAGGCTTCTTGCTGTCTGCTGACATTCAAATAATGGAGGTCCATGGCGCCCGAGACAGAAAGGTCCATAAAAGTCCACAAAAACGTGTCAATATTCCTCCATACTGCTCGTCCAATGTAATCCAAGTGTCCTGAGTGGGTAGCATCCAGAATTTACTCGAAACGAAGTCATTTAGAACGTTTTAGAGCCTAAACAGTAGTGTATAGGATTTCCTAATAGCGCCCCCATGCGCGCTCACGATTCTACGGAAGCCGGCAGACCAAACCAGCGCATTCAGCTCGGCAAAGAACTCATGCTCTTCCTCAACACTGAAGTCCTCAGACATTTTTCTTTCGTTGTTTCTTTCTTTGCACAGGTAAACAGCACATTTCTTCTTCTACGCTTGCATTATCGGCAGACCAGACGCTGAATGCGCACTTCCTTCCGGTTTGGTCTGCCGGCTTCCGTAGAATCGTGAGCGCGCATGGGGGCGCTATTAGGAAATCCTATACACTACTGTTTATGCTCTAAAAACATTCTAAATGACTTCGTTTCGAGTAAATTCTGGATGCTACCCACTCAGGACACTTGGATTACATTGGACGAGCAGTATGGAGGAATATTGACACGTTTTTGTGGACTTTTATGGACCTTTCTGTCTCGGGCGCCATGGACCTCCATTATTTGAATGTCAGCAGACAGCAAGAAGCCTCCCAGATCTCCAGATGCATTTGAGATATCAAAAAAGTACTCCAGAGTGTTGTTCAGCATGGAGGTGAGTAGAAAATGAAGGCTAATCATGTTTTGGGTGTACTATTCCTTTAACAATCTCAGACTCAAATCTTTAAATCTGAATTGATCTAGCCTAAAGTTGGAAACATCTGAATTTTAGGTTTTCCAACAACTGCTGTAAGTGATCAATTCTAAGTAGGTCTACTCCAGTGCAGCCATCCCCATTGGCTATATATATATTCTCACAGTTGGATTGGGAGAGCCGGGACTGTACTAATGATGACTTTCACCTTGATATTTTAATGTGGATGTATATCTCTGAGCGAGGATGAATCAATTTTCCAACCTGTGTACGCGTACTGTGAAATTACCACCTCGAATGCGACGTGCTGATATGGATGCAGCTATAAGCAGAGCTCTATCAGCCAAGCTCACCAATCTCCTCGCTCAGTGGATAGCCAAAAGCTTCCTGCTCATCAGCTTGGCTTATGTGGTCGAGCTTGTTCTCCAGACGGCCACATGCGACCCATCTTACAAACTACCTGCGAGGCGAGTTATCATGAGAATACATGACCACAACGCCGTGGAGAAAGCCGTGAAAGATGAGAAGTAGATCAAGGAGACATTATTTTGTTAAAGTGGTGTCATGTTCTTTTTAAGGGATCTGACCCGGAGTTTAGTTCAGGCTCAGTGGGAAACTTAAGCGAGAAACAAAAACTGAAACGGGACTCACGTTTCCAGAAAAAGGTATCCTTCCCAGAATCCAGTCCGCACTCCAACGAGTCAACATGGTTGACTCGTTGGAGTGCGGACAGGGTTTACTCGGGTTGGTTTGGTTCCTTGAGGAGAGATGGAGCTATCTGCCACTTACATTTCCTGAAGTACTTGAACGGTTCGTGTGGAGATTTAACCCCTGCTCAGTGTTAAGCTCAAACAATCCTTTCAGGGGGGGAAGGTCCAAACATCCAGTTTGCATCCCCTGCTCAGTGTGAAGCTCAAACAATCCTTTCAGGGGGGGAAGGTCCAAACATCCAGTTTGCATCCCCTGCTCAGTGTGAAGCTCAAACGATCCTTTCAGGGGGAGGAGGCCAAACATCGAGTTTGCAGGATGACTTCCTGCCGAGAGGCAAAGACAAAAACAACAAGGTTAGGACTAAGAGAGACAAAGACTCATTAAAGCTCAGCTAAACTCAGCAGTCAGTCAGCAGCTTAAGAGTCCTCAGATAATGAACCAACCATCCACAGGTGTGTGGAAGGGCCAACGAGAACCGGGCACCACCTGGTGATGGAGGGGGATGTTAGATTCAAAATATTGTGAGTTCATTTTTCTTATTTCATATAGGACAAAAATGAATCTGAAGCACAAAAGGACTTTATAAGCAGAGCTTTTCCTGCAGGAATGAGAAAGGCTGCTGCTCACATCCCAGTACCATTCTGCCCCCCAACAGAACAGCCGAGTATTTTATTCACAGAGCAGAAACAGATGGGTGGGTCTTATGACCCTAGAATGACCAACTGGCTGAGAGGCAGGTCATAAAAGTTTATGACCCTGTAAATGCCTTCTTGCTGAAGGCAAGTCTAGAATGACCCTCCTGATTGAATCACAGGACAGAATGTAGCATCTTTTTTCTTCAATGTTTCATATGCACACACATTAATTTTATAATTGTCATTCAATAACTCTAACAGGGGAAAACACAAACAATACACAACCCACACAAACAAGATTCCTAAGAAGTGCGACATCTCAAAGAAAACTGGGACACTTTACTTTGCAACTAACACAGTAACAAATGAGCAAAAAAAAGTATGTATGTATATACTTTTCAAAATTACATGTTATTTTGCAAACATAAAATAGGGCAAACCTTTCTTTGAAATTCCAGAGGTCACACACGCATCATGAATGTCTTTGGCAGAATTCAAATGAGCAATTTTAATATATATTAATCTAGATTAATTTCAAAATTAGTAAGATTAATCGAGATAAAAAAAAAAAAAAACATCTATACCCCCCACTAATATATCAAAGAAGCATCGACTTCACTTAGACATTTGCTGTCAACTTGGAAATATTATTAATGCCCTAATCGGGGAATTAATGGTTCAAGCCCCTGCTGTGCTTTGGGGTCCTTTGAGTCGATTACGTGCTAAATAAATCTATAATATATTTAACCTATAGTAGCACAAAAACTGCAGGCCAGCATGAGTAGAGTCTCGAACACTGCTTCTACACTAGCAGAGGGATGCGTCTACAGCTGCTATGGGAGATAGTTATGGGCCTGTTGTTGAGGCTGCTCAATTGCACCTCTAACTGTCAAGTGTCCTAGCATTGTATCACTTCACATTGACAATAACAGCCATGCCGCCTTCTTACTTCTTACCGATGTCTTCTGTTATGTCAGGCCAAAAAAGATTAAAATAATGAATTATTTATGAACCATTTGCAAAAATGTGTGCTCAAACAGCCAGAAGGCATTGTAAGGGACAAATCTTTTGGGACGCAATTAAAACTGTAAAGAAATCCTCTAATCTTAATCTGTGAAATTTGCATTTATATTAAATTCTAGATGTGTTCTGTGTATGTGGGACATGTGACCAGGAGGGGCGAGGCCAGGGGTAGACTTGCTGGGTTGGGCTTTGGACCTGTTTAAAAAGACTTGCAGTTCTAGTCTGGACTGCATCTATCCTATCTTGACAGAGTGACGTACAGTATCCTGGTAACTTATTAACAAAATGTTTCTCCTGTCTCTGTTTCTTGGCATCTGGCTTCTCCCGACAGGCAAGTCTTTTTTCATGTGTACATTATTTGTTTTGTTGTTGTTTTTTTTTCAAATACAGAACTAATAAAACATT